CACGTGAATGTTATAATTAACTAAAGATTGGGGTGTTACAATTCTCCTCTCCTTAAAAGAATTTGGTCCTCGAAATTCATTAATGTCATATAATTGCATCAATGAAACTTTCATTATTTCTTTCATATCTTCAAGTAGCTTTTATAGAAATACAGATCTTTCACTAATCCTTAACCAGTTGAGCATACATTCTTATAAGAACTTTTGCTCATTTCAATGAAAGAATCCGAACGAAAATTTCCTTGAAGAATCAATTTAGTTTTTGTTACAAGAATAGGCTCATAGAGCAGTAGCATATCCCAATTTCATTTTCGGAGTCATGTCAGTATTTCTTGGATAATTAACTCTCACATGGCTTGGGGGTACTTTACAGCGTTTAGGCAGATGTTACTGGTATTCCTTTTTGTACAAGTATATCCATAACATATAGAAACATCGGTTTACTCGTTACAGATAGGGACTCAGCCCTGGAGTTCCAACTCAGATAGGTACGATTGTAGTCTAGGGGCATGTACTGATCAGACATATTTTGACATTCGACCGGCCGGTCTATCTTGAAAAATTTTGACTCAAACCATAGCTCTGATACCACTAAATGTAACCCCCCAGACCGATGCGGGTAGCCTGATCCGATCCGGGAAGTTACTTTGAAACATAAATACTAGAGATCAATATTTACGTACAATATTGTATATCAAATCCATTATTTTTTTCGATTTAAGATTTTGACCCGCACGTTTTGTGAGTAAAACAAATTTTACACAGACTCAAACCCATACGCTTAGCGATATCAAATGTAACCCCCCAGACCGATGCGGGTAGCCAATCCGATCCGGGAAGTCACATTAGGGCCACCGCGACCCACTGTAAAAAATGGCGGAAAATTTAAACTTTTTATCAGAACATGTAAACTTATAAAATCAGTTTTCACTATTTAAAATAAAACAGATTTCCAAACTCTATATAAATCAAAATACAATTACATGCCCCCTAATCACATGTACCATACTCTGCAACAACACCGGACGAACTCCCTTACTGAAGTCGATAGATGCACTGGTACAATTCTTTTAACCTGAAAAGGTGAGTAATAGAGTGAGCTTTGGAAAGCTCAGTAATACAGAACTACCAGATGATGCTACATGACATGTAGATAAATGGAAAGCCATAATTTCCTTATTGAATCATACGTATACCAGCTTGCAGAATAATTTGGGGTTCCCTTAGAAGTTCATGAGTAGAGCCATGAATCTCAGTTCATAAGAAACCTTTCAAAGTATGACATTTCCAGGAGATCGAATAGGATGTCTAGTGTGTTCAACATATAATAAAATCATAATAGGTACACTTATCAAATGATAGTTCAGTAAATCTCAAAATCATAATGAATTTAACTTTTGAAAATCATAGTTTAAACTCTTTTCTTGTACACCATCAGTAATTTCCAAAACTATTTTCCATATAGCTTACTCTAAGCACACAGCAAAAAGAAAGCCAACCTAAGGATAAGCTTTATAGCTTGTATCCTTAAGCCCGTAAGTCCAAGTCCATATAGCTTACCCTAAGCACACAGCAAGGGAAGCCAACCTAATGTATCTTGGGGCCCCAAGAGTCACATTAGGCCATTCTGTTTATTAGCTTGATCAGAGCTATACTATTGTAATTCAATCCAAAGTTCAATTGCACCGTGACACAAATTCCATAAATCATCACATTAAATTGGTGCATCAATAAACAGTAACCAAAAACTCATGTACCTCATATTAAACCAAAAAACAGTTCAGTAATAATTAGGGAACACATAGAGAATCCAATATTTTCAGAGGCCATTGTAGTTATCATTTTGGATAACATGAAACTTATGAAATTTGATCGAATTCATGAACAAGGTCCTATTGAGGAGAATCGATTACTAACCGATCTAGCCAGACATTTAAGGTTGATACATTAGAATCCCACTATATTTTCGTGTGCTTTAGGAAAACGTTCAGGAACTTTATACATAATAATTCTAAATTCAGATTTACTGCGAGTGATTCCATTACCCAAACAATCAGGGGTATTCAGGAATATACTTTAAATTCATAGGATTTCAGCCCAATTGAACCAAATGAGATATTCAGAATCTTTTCCATCTGCGTTACTTGTTTTTTTTTCAAACATGACCGAAGTGATTTTAGATGAAATATAGAATCGAAGATTCAAGTCATTTACAATCTACGACTATCGATCATATTATCAAACAACTCGAGTTACACAACTCTCAAACTGATGCATGTCAAAAGTAATTATTATCCTTCCAGTGTATTCACTTTAATACCATAATGCAGATCCATAGATCATCCCCATAATATCACTAAATAAATCTTCCAACGGTCTTTATTTCATTTCCACGTTTCAACATATCAGGAAATACTGACGTACTTGATCCATGGCTCATAACCCAATGACAATTCATCATGTAAGTTCACAGTGTTTCCAAACTCATCAAATCACCTTTAATCCTTAGTCATTGATGTTACTTAGTTCGTTTGGTAAGCAAGTCTATCCCGATTACTTTAAAGTTTTCCAGAATAATTCAGACGTTTCTGAATTTCAAATACACGTTGTACTTCATTTCATTTCAATTTATTCATATAATAAGTCATTCTGGTATTCATGGTTGATTTGACTAACGACTACCCACTTATTAGTACTGTATGCGCTCTAGAGTTGAGCTGAGCCAAGTACTTCCAGAATTATCATCGATCCAAATTTGAGAAGATGAACAAACATTCAAGTGATACTTATATCATTCAGGTAATGATATAGTACTAACGTTGGTTGATCACTTAAGTTGCGTTCCACAACTTTTACTGGTAGCACAACATCCATGTTTCTTTGGATTTCTTAATTAATCCAAGACATTTACTTATTCTAGGTCATAGGGCATTTTGGTGCTTAACATTTTTCTATTCATTTCAAAGCTTGAGTATATCCATTCATTCCTGAGCTTGGTGACATTCTTGAGTCATTTCCATTCCAGGTAATTTGGTCATTTTATAATTCTAGAATATTTCAATCATTTCCTTCCATCCGTCTTATTATTTAATTCAATCTTATCATTTACTTCAGTCCTTTCGAACAATTCTGTCAGCAGAATACCTCCGATAAATTACTTCAAGTATTTACTCCTTATTCGAATATTTTCGGGTCAAGTGTCTTCTCAGATTTTACAAACGGAATATTATAAATTTTTCTGTACAAAGACATGATCTTAACAATAAATTCGTACTTAATCGAGTTAAGTACAAATCCTCAAAGTACTCTCATTCAGGGTCAATTCATACTATTTTATCTCTTAAGGGCATTTTCGTAATTTCTTAACCAGATAATTTCAATATTAGCTCTTAACGAAAATAATATAATTTAGAGATCCTATGATCAATTGCTTTCCCGAACATTATTTGATTTTGAATGATTCCTTCACAAACTCTAGGATTAAAACGGTTATCCATAATTTCCAAATAAAACTAACATTTCTTATGCATCAGTAGTTATATCGGATCAATATGTCTTTTCAGAGTTATTAACCAACTTCCAGGACAATTCTTATCATTTTCCAACATAAGGGTAATTTCGTAATTTTACCATAGAGTATTCTCATAATTTTTCATCCAAGTACCTTTAACATTTAACCCTTGATGATATAAAATATAATTACAAATCCAGAGCTGATTCTTTATCACCAATCACAAACTTGTAATTTAATTCTAACAATTATCAATCTTTATCTTAGTCATTCATCCGTATTCAGTTGCAGAATTTCTACCACATTCATATCAAGTGTATAAATTATTCAACTCCACAAAAGTGATTAACATTATCTTATTCATACATTTATCGATATCATGTTTCATAAAGCATAAAGAGGTAGTAAAGTATTACCTCGATTTCCATACCATACTGATTGACCATTAAAACTTCATTCGAACGCCCTCGAAGCATACAAATGGATCAGAAGGTACTGGGTCGAGATTCCAGTTTTCTTCTCTAACGAACCCGTACCATCAAATACGAACTTGAATCCAATATAATTCCCTCGTGATAAAAATTATTATTAGAACTAATTTAATAGTTTGGACAGAAGGTACTGGGTCGAGATTCCAGTTTTCTTCTCTAACGAACCCGTACCATCAAATATACGAACTTGAATCCAATATAATTCTCCTCGTGATAAAAATTATTATTAGAACTAATTTAATAGTTTGGAAACCCAAATGATAAAACTAAAACTTTTAGTGTCGCTAAAATATTTAATAACTAAAATCAGGAACTACATCAATTTAATTTAAACTTATCATAGCTTGATTGAAATTTATTAAAACTTAAGAACAAGTTAGAACCTTACCAAACATAGAGGATGGGAACTATGATTTGCCCATCTTAATTTCTCAACAACCCCACAACCACGTGATTTTAAAAAGAATTTATAAACCACTTCTTCATTACACGCACCTTCCACCATTTCTATTTCTTTTTCTTTTTTCTTCTGTGTTGTTCATATCTCAATCAAAGATGTTCCAACGACTGCTCATCGACCGCCATTATTCACCGGTGGACACCACATCGACCGTCGTCAATGACCGCCAGTCGAAACCCATATTATTCTGTTGAATCATATCATTCTCCTTATCACAAATCTAGCCTCTGATCATAGAGAATATTGATAAATAGTTGTAGATCTACCAAATGTTTCGGATCCGAGGATCTCCCTGTTCCCATCCGGTTCATTTGTCTCCATTCGAATTTTGGAGCGGAAGCCATGGTTGCCTCGCCTGCTGTTGAGTGTTCTTTGGACATGGGTTTCTCCCGAATGATTCTTGCGAAGAGAAGAAAGATAACCTCATGTCTTTATTATTTTTTAGCACAATGTCGAATGGTGGTGATTATGCTGTTGCCGATGATGTCGAGGATGCCTAAAGTGAGGATGATGCCTCGATGAATCAACCCGTCACTCCATGGACCGTCTCGTTGCTAATGGTTATTCCTTGATGCGTGATCTTCGACACAACAAAGGCTCACCTTCACCGAAAATAAGAGAGAGATACACTACCTGCGTAGCCTTCTTCTGTTGTTCTCAGTCCAGAGCTTCAAGATAAGAAGCTCATGAATAACCTTTTCCAATATCAAGTCTTCTGCAGCGATACATGGCCTTGATGGATCTTCAGGAGAGAAATGAACGACTTTTCTACAAGCTTCTCGTTGATAATGTGAAGGAACTGCTCCCTGTTGTATACACTTTGACAGTCGGTGAAGCTTGCCAGAAATATGAAAGCATTTTCAGGCGCCATCAGGGCTTTACATTAGTTTGAAAGAAGGAAAATATTCTTGAATTATTGAAAAATTGGTATGCGATGAAATGGGCATTCGATGAAGAAGAAGAGATATAAAGGAGGAAGATGAAAATGAGCAATAAACGTTGTGGAGCCATTTTGTTTTCTTTTGTCAACAAAATAAAACTGTGAATTAACAAGTAGGAAATAAAATAACATTTCTTCTAAGCTGAAAAATAATGGATTACATGGTGACAATGTATTATCCTTAATTTATTGGTCAACTCCTTTGGCATGACTCTTGCCATGGACCGACACACATTAATGTTCACAGTGAGAGGTATGCCGCCCACCCCAGACCACGCTTAACAAGACATTATAAGGTTTTTTTTTAGAAATCTATACAACTTTTTATAATTTATAAATAATGATAATATGTTTTATATTTATCCAATAATATATTGTACAATCTCAAATCGTTATATCATCACATAAAGACTGAGTTTAATGATACTAATATAACACATGATATAAGAAAGAAATTTAAAACATAATAAAACTAAGATATAATGTTAATAAATATAAAAAAGTGTATATGTCAAAAGTTAATGATTATGTAAATGAATTATGACATAAGAACCATACACAAACTTTATATATATATATATATATATATATATATATATATATAATATATATATATATATATATGAGAGCTTTATGTTTCCTTGTCTACGATGGCCAGAATATTGGAATGTGTTTATACATATTTACATCCAACAAAAAAGAGGCATTCAGGAGTAGATAACACTAGATTTTATTATAGTTATTTGAATTTAATTCGATCATTATTTTTAAAAAAAAAAAGTTGATTCGAGTTTTAATCGACTCGAGTTCTTATAAGTTTAAATGAGTTATTCGGTACTTGATTGAAAAGAATATGATTAATTCAAAAAATAATTTTTAAACTTTTAAATTAAATTATTAAATATCAACATTTATATATTGTTTTAAATGCAATAAAGGTTTTTATAGACTTAGGCTCATGTTCGAGTTTGAGTTTGAGTTCGAGTTTAAATCAAATTCAAGTTCAGCTTCAATCGAGCTAAGTCTGAGAATGTTTCGAGTTCAAGTTTTTCCGAACTCAAGCGAGCTTCAGTTTTTGAGTTTATGCTCAAATTGAACTTGAACTTTAAACTCACGAACTTTCGAATCAGTAAAATTCCATTTTAAATTTTTCGAGTTGAGTTTAACAATACTCTACTCTACTCGACTCATTTACCACCTAAAGTTACCTAATTTAATTTGATTTAATCCAAACATTTACTCCAACATTTTCTTACCGTTTCCCTATGTTGAAGTTACTACCTCAATAAAAAAATGAAATCAGCAGTAGAGAAATATTTTAGAGTTGAATAAAGCCGAGGGATCTTAATATATGAGTTGGTGGCCAATTGTTGCAGAATATCCGGGTTCTTTCAACATTAATTCCATAAATCCGACCAGCTCCGATGTCCACATGTGCACCCGAACCCAGGTCTCGAGCCGTCGACCGCACAACCTTGTATAATGAAGTCATCCATTAAATTTAAAGGGTAAACTATGCGAATAGCCCTTTTATTTTTGGTATGACCGATTTTGATCACCAATTTAAAAATTAAGGTTAAATGATCCCCTAACGTTATCGATATATTCAATTTTAGTCTCTAGCCGTTAATTTCTGTTTATTAACGGAAGAAATAAATACACATAAATCATCTATAAGTGACATGGGAAATTTTTTATTAAAAAATAATTAAAAAATCCTAAAACATTTAGGTATCTCCTCTTTCTCCCTCTCCTCTTCTTTCTCCTCCTCCTCCTCCTCCTCCTCCTCCTCCTCCTCCTCCCCAGATAAATACACATAAATCACCTTTGGAGCAGTTTCTGCTCCTTATATTGTTCTTTTGGATCTTTAGTTAAAATCCCTCCTTTTTAACTTATTGATTTTCTGGATATTTGCTAGAAAGTGAAAGACCAAATAGACCTTTATTAATTCATTCAAATTGTTGTTTATGCTTAGGGTTTTTTGTTATATTCGATAAATTTTAACAAATATAGATGATGTTTTGATTTTCTAGATTTTTGATTTATTGTATGATGCTTGCATACCATAGTGGAGAACATAACTGCTAATGCTCATGGCTTTTGTTCATTTTTGGGTGTTTTATGCAGAACATAGTTGGTTGATGGATAACAGAGTTGTAACGAAATTCAGAGTGTATCTGATCCTGAACGGCGGCATGGAAAAGTTTAAACGAAAGAACAAAAGAAACCATATTCTATAGCCTCTTTTAATCCAAAGCATGAAACTTTATTTGAAGGTAGTGGAATTCAAATTCCCCAAGATTCAACTATAGGTATAATTGTTTCCATCATCGAAATCTTGGAGTAATCAAGGATTGTACCTGCAAGTTTGTGGGAGATCAACTTTATGATTTAGATCTCACGAGTTTTCTGATATTAGATTTAACTTTGTAAAAGATATGCTTCCAACTGCCCAAGGATGTCACACCCTAATTTAAGGGCTACTTTAAAGTATCGAATTGAAGTTACAACAGGAATAATTTAGAACCAAATTGTAAGTTTATGAAGTTTTTGGGCTAGTTTTGAAAATCTAGGAAGTACAGGGCCTTAGCCATGAATTTTTCCAATTTTCTAGATAATTAATACTAATTCCCCATCGGAAGCAAAATCCCTAAATCCCCAAATTAATCTAAACCTCGAACACTAGCTCGTCGGCCCAATTTTCACCTCGATTTAACGCCATCCAGCCATCTTTGACCGCCGGCACCGCCCCCATTCGATGCGTCATTGATCGAAGACCATAACTTGAGCAACATCATACCGTTACACGCCACTGTTTGTCGTCAATCAAGGTTTGAATGTTTGACGGTAACCCTCAAATCACCTCGATTTTTCACCGATTCCGGCTGAACTAGTGACTGGCACAAATCACGCCTGCACTAGTTTGACCCCCCGTCGTAGCCCGCACAAAACCCAGCCCTTGGGTCGATCCATTGTCGTCGTTTCCTCGGTCATCGGAGTTGGGGTAAGTTGGGTCACTTTTTCGTTGTTTGGTATTTAACAATAGAGTTGGATTATTTTTTATGAATGGATTTGTGATCGAACAGGGAGTAACCGGAAGCCATCCCCGGGCCCGTCACCGCTGCCACGCCGCCACGTCGCCGCATGCGTGTAGGGCTTGTTCCCAACTCTGGTTTCTCTAGAACTGGTCCAGCCGATTTAGACCGGTCTGAACCGGCCCAACATGGTACGAACCGAGTCAACACAACTCGACCCGTTGACTTTGACCTGACCTGTTGATCATTGATCGGTCTGACCATTTACCGTTGACTTTGAGTTCGAAAAAAAAGTCAAATTTTCTGAAAATTCATATTTATGTTTTTCGACGTCCTGAGTCGAATCCAAAGTTCGTTTTACCAAATTTGCACTCGGTAGTCGTTTTCAATGTTTATCTTTGGATTCAAGTTGGTTTTTCGATTAAGTTAGTTTCTGACGTAAATTGTTTTCTATGTATCCGAGGAATTATTGGATGTTGAATTCGTGTTCAAGTGATCAAATGGATTAAATGTTCAATCGGTGGGGCACGAAAATCAGATAAATACATTATACCTTATGCATGCTTTAGAACATGTTGGAAATTGGTAGATACATGGATGAATGATTGGTCTCATCTATATAGTAAATTATTTCTAAACTCGATCTGAATACGATAAAAAGTCGGTAACCGAATACGACTCTGATGGCTCGCGTAAGAACAACTAAAAGATTGGAAGGTTTTACTATGGTTTTTAAATATACGTTTTAAACTACTACTGTTTTAAAAAGGATCTGTACTTTTCACTGGTTTTATGGGAACACACTAGACGTATTCTGATCTCCTAAACCCAGTCATCCGAAACATTTTCCTTTGAACGAAGCTTCCTGTCTTTTACTACCTGAGATCAGTGTGACCTCAACTCAGTATAAAAATCTATAGATCTGAATCATTAGGGAAAATTATGCTTGTCTATATATGCATGTTCTTCAGTATCACTTGGTAGTTCTGTATTATTAACCTTTCCAAAGCTCACTCTGTTATTCACTATTTCAGGTTAAAAGAATTGAACCAGTGCAACTATCGACATTAGTAAAGGAGTTCCACCGGCGTTACTTGCGGAGTACGGTGCATGTGTTTAGAGAGCATGTATATGTATTCTGTTTTTAATCCGAGTTTGAAACGTATGATTTAGTTCTGTCTGCAATATATGAATGGTTTTCCCGAACTTGTATTTTAAATTATAAATTGTTTTATGATTTTACACTTTTTAAAAGAAATTTTAATTTTTTGGGATTTTTACGATGGGTCGCTCCGGTGACCCTAATATGACACCTCATATCGGATCACCCGCATCGGTCTGTGGGTGTTACATTTAGTGTATCAGAGCCTAGGTTGAGTCAAATTTTCTGGGTAGACCGGCCGGTCGAATGTCATAGGATGTCTGGTCAGTACATGCCCCTAGACTATAATCGTACTTCTCTAAGTCGTAACTCGAAGGTCGAGTCATCTCTGTAACGACTAACATAAGTTTTCTATCCGTTAGGGCTCAACCTATGCATAAAGGATATAGTAAAGTTTGTCCAAATTCAGTAAAATGCCTCACGAGTATATGAGAGTTTTCATCCGAAGTATTTAACTCGACTCCAGAAATAAATTTGGATATATTATCGCCCTATGAACCTAACCTCATAGCCAAGGTCGAATTGATTCCACAAGGATAATTATGTTCAAATTCTATTATTGAAATGATGGAGCGTTTTGACGAGAATGTACACTCAGTTGGTTAAGGATTTGTAGAAGACTCGTACTTCTGTAAAAGCTACCTGAAGATAATGAAGAATTTCTGAAAGCTTCACTTATGCATTTCTGTGAATTGAGTGAATTTTAAGGATGAAATTCTGTTAAGGGGAGGAGAATTGTCACACCCCAATTTAGG